AGAGAAGCGTATGTGTCATATGTATTAATTAGATATCAAGTCCAATGTTGTCTAATTAATTTGTAGTTCATATGTTTAATTAATTAAGGACCCAAGTAATTTTCTTAAAATGAAAGACATCAAATATATGTTTATGATTAAAAAAAAACATGTTGGAGGTAAAAACTAGAGAGTAGTAATTAGACCAACTTAAAGATGAGGAGGAGGATGATGAAGGTGAGGACCCTCGGTATGTGAGAGCATTCGGTAAATACATAGCCATGCATACATAAGACAAATGTATGTGGTTCACCCGAATAATGGGCTACGTCCATGGAGAAGTATGTTCTCATTATGATAAAGGCTATATACATTACACATAGGGTTAGACCCAAGGGGAGGAGGAAGAATGCCGGAGGTTGATGGCCGAAGGCTGATGGCCGAAAGCTGAGGGCCGAAGGCGGAAGGCCGAAGGCCGAAGGCGGAGGGCAGAAGGTAGATGGCCGAAGGCTGAGGATCTGGCTGAAGGAAAATGATCCGTGGGCTTGTAAATGGGCTTAGGAGTAAACCCATGAGGCCCTTATGAGCCATATGGTGCCCTAGTAGCCTGTTTAACTCTCCCCTTCCTTGAAGGAGATGAGTCTCCTTTTATAAGTAAGGGAGTGTCCCCTCTTTTTGTGTTTTGTCGATGTGGGACTCTCCTCCCTTTGTGTTGGATTAGCTTAGGAGTGTTTGGCCAGATATTGTACTAACAGGAGTCCCCTAAGTTCCCGATTAAGGAGGTACTTCATGATTGGGGACTTGTAGTCGTCAATGCACTGGCCAAGCAATGCTTCAGCTCCTTCTTCACTTTCTCTTGTGTGTAGGCATGGAATGAAAAGATGTCTCTTAGGAGGTGCCGTTCGGCATGCCTTGACATTTTAAGGGAGTGGCATGCCTGGACATTGTAAGGGAGAATATTCATCATGAGGTACCGAAGGTCGATGCCGAATCATTAGGGGGATGTGAAGGCATCGCACGCGCCGAATGATCGAAGGGTGCCGAAGGTTGATGGCCGAAGGCTGATGGGTGAGGGCCGAAGGCTGAAGGCCGATTCCAAATCATTTGGGGGATGTGAAGACATCGCACACGCCGAATGATGGAAGGATGCCGAAGGCCGAAGGCTGAAGGCCGATTCCGAATCATTGGGGAGATGTGAAGACATCGCACGTGCCGAATGATGGAAGGGTACTGAAGGCCGATGCCGAGAAGAACTTGTTCTAGGGTGCCGAGGGCACTGGAAAAGGAGAATGACATTGCCTTTTGTGTCGTTTCCCACAAACGGCGCCAATCTGTTGGAGGTAAAAACTAGACAGTAGTAATTAGACCAACTTAAAGATGAGGAGGAGGATGATGAAGGTGAGGACCCTCGGTATGTGAGCGCAATCGGTAAGTACATAGGCATGCATACAGAAGATAAATGTACGTGGTTCACCCGAATAACGGGCTACGTCCACGGAGAAGTATGTTCTCATTATGATAAAGAGTGTATACATTGCACATAGGGTTAGACCCAAGGAGAGGAGGAAGAATGCCGGAGGCTAATGGTCGAAGGATGATGGCCGAAGGCGGAGGGCTGAAGGCGAAGGGCCAAAGGCTGAGGATCTGGCTGAAGGCAAATGATCCGTGAGCTTGTAAATGGGTTTAGGAGTAAGCCCATGAGGCCCTTATGAGCCATATGGTGCCCTAGTAACCTGTTTAACTCTCCCCTTTCTTGAAGGAGATTAGTCACCTTTTATAAGTGAGGGAGAGTCCACTCTTTTTGTGTTTTGTCGATGTGGGACTCTCCTCCCTTTGTGTTGGATTAGCTTAGGAGTGTTTGGCCAGATATTGTACTAACAAAACATATAAAGAATGACATTAGATGTCAAATTATTGCATTTTGAATTTTGAGAAGAAAAAAAAGTTAAGTGGGCCAGACTTGGGCCGTCCTTGAAGCAGGCATGGGCTCATGTCGTGCTTGATGCGGGCTCGGGCCAAGCCCTGCCCATGTCGGGCCATGGGCAGGCCCGGTTCATTGGACGGCCCGATCCATTGGACCTATTTTTCGATTCCGACCAGGCCCAAGTTTTCGTGTCATGTCAAGCACGGCCCATTAATGTTCTTTCTCGTGTCGTGCCGTGCCTCATTTAAACGGGATGGGCTCGTGCAGTACTGAGCCGGCCCGTCCCGTTTGACACCTCTACCTCCAAACCAATGTCTCACAATATGAGAAACTCATTCCTATCCACCCTTATTCTTACGATCCGATCTATTTCAACCCTTCTCTATACCTTCTTCGGACTCAACTTTTTGAAAACCTCAAGCACGTTTAAGCTTGGCAACAACGACTCAGGAAGCATCTTTAAGAATCATGCATTAAAAGCTTTTGCATTTTTAGTGAAAATTAAAAGTTCCATCTCGAACTTGACATCTCCAACTGTAGACCTCTATCGAATCTTGCCACCACCATTTCGCCTCCATCTCCAACTTCAGACCTCTCTCGAGTGTCGCCACCACCATTTCGCCTCCATCTCCTACTTCAGACCTCTCTCGAGTCTCGCCACCACCATTTCGCAGAAATGCAGGGCTTTAAGGCTCGGATCCTGGCCTCCGTCGCCGTGCTGCTGTCTCTTGTCGACTGTGGCTTGATGACGTTGTCCACCATAATTTCTTTAGAACGGGTTTATCCACCGAGTCACCGAGTACAGATCGAGCAGCTCCAAGTAGTGGTGTCAAACGGGCAGTGCCGGGCTAGCCCGTCCCATTTAAACTTTTGTTTTTAACGTTTACCTGTCGTGTCGTGCTGCCCATTTAATTTATTGGACCGTGCTGTGCTAGCCCATTTAGTAAAATCATTGATCCCGGCCCGGCCCAGAGCCCATGTCCATATTGAAACGGCCTGGGCCAGACTCATGCCATTGCATGCGCCGAATGATGGAAAGGTGCCGATTCCAAGAGGCACTTGTTGTAGGGTGCTGAGGGCACTGGAGAAGGAGAACGACATAGCCCTTTGTGTCGTTTCCCACAGATGGCGCCAATCTGTTGGAGGTAAAAACTAGACAATAGTAATTAGACCAAATTAAAGATGAGGAGGAGGATGATGAAGGTGAGGAACCTCGGTATGTGAGAGCATTCGGTAAGTACATAGGCATGCATACATAAGACAAATGTATGTGGCTCACCCGAATAATGGGCTACGTCCACAGAGAAGTATGTTCTCATTATGATAAAGATTGTATACATTGCACATAGGGTTAGACCCAAGAAGAGGAGGAAGAATGCCGGAGGCTGATGGCCGAAGGCAGAGGGCCAAAGGCTGATGGCCGAAGGCAGAGGGCCAAAGGCAGAGGGCCGAAGGCTGAGGATCTGGCTGAAGGCAAATGATCCGTGGGCTTGTAAATGGGCTTAGGAGTAAGCCCATGAGGCCCTTATGAGCCATATGGTGCCCTAGTAGCTTGTCTAACTCTCTCTTTTCTTGAAGGAGATGGATTTCCTTTTATAAGTGAGGGAGAGTCCCCTCTTTTTGTGTTTTGTTAATGTGGGACTCTCCTCCCTTTGTGTTGGATCAGCTTAGGAGTGTTTGGCTAGATATTGTACTAACAAAACATATAAAGAATGACATTAGATGTCAAATTATTGCATTTTGAAGTTTGAGAAGAAAAAAAAGTTAAGTGGGCCAGACTTGGGCCGTGCCTGAAGCAGGCTTGGGCTCATGTCGTGCTTGATGAGGGCTAGGGCCAAGCCCTACCCATGTCGGGCCATGGGCCGGCCCGGTCCATTGAACCTATTTTTTGATCCCGGCGCGGCCCAAGTTCTCGTGTTGTGTCGTGCCTCATTTAAACGGGATGGGTTCGTGCAGTGCTGAGTCGGCACGTCTCGTTTGAAACCTCTACCTCCAAACCAATGTCTCACAGTATGAGAAACTCATTCCTATCCACCCTTATTCTTACGATCTCATCTATTTCAACCCTTCTCTATACCTTTTTCGGACTCAACTTTTTTGAAAACCTCAAGCACGTTTAAGCTTGGCAACAACGACTCAAGAAGAATCTTTAAGACACATCATGCATTAAAAGCTTTTGCATTTTTAGTGAAAATTAAAAGTTCCATCTCGAACTTGACATCTCCAACTGTAGACCTCTATCGAGTCTCGCCACCACCATTTTGCCTCCATCTCCAACTTCAAACCTCTCTCGAGTGTCGCCACCACCATTTCGCCTCCATCTCCTACTTCAGACCTCTCTCGAGTCTCGCCACCACTATTTCGCGGAAATGCAAGGCTTGAAGGCTCGGATCTTGGCCTCTGTCGCCATGTTGCTGTCTCTTGTCGACTGTGGCTTGACGATGTTGTCCACCTTTCTTTCTTTAGAACGGGTTTATCTGCCCAATCACCGAGTACAGATCGAGCAGCTCCAAGTAGTGGTGTCAAACAGGCCGTGTCGGGCCAACCCGTCCCATTTAAATTTGTGCTTTTAACATTTCTGTGCCGTGTAGTGCCGGCCCAATTAATTTATTGGGCCGTACCGTGCTAGCCCACTTAGTAAAGTCATTTATCCCAGCCCGGCCCAAAGCCCATGTCCATATTGAAACGGACCGGGCCAGACTCGTGCCATGCCTATGCTCGTGCTCGTGCCATCTCCAACTTCAGACCTATTTTTTTATCCCGGCCCGGCCCAAGTTTTCGTGCCGTGTCGAGCACGGCCCATTAATATTCGTTCTCGTGCCGTGCCATGCCTCATTTAAACGGGATGGGTTCGTGCAGTGTTGGGCCGACCCGTCCCGTTTGACACCTCTACATCCAAACCAATGTCTCACAGTATAAGAAACTCATTCCTATCCACCCTTATTCTTAGGATCCTATCTATTTCAACCCTTCTCTATACCTTCTTCAGACTCAACTTTTTTGAAAACCTCAAGCACGTGTAAACTTGGCAACAATAACTCAGGAAGAATCTTTAAGACACATCATGCATTAAAACCTTTTGCATTTTTAGTGAAAATTAAAAGTTCCATCTTGAACTCCACATCTCCAACTTTAGACCTCTCTCGAGTCTCGCCACCACCATTTCGCCTCCATCTCCAACTTCAAACCTCAACATCTCCAACTTTAGACCTCTCTCGAGTTTCGCCACCACCATTTCGCGGAAATGCAGGGCTTGAAGGCTCGGATCCTGGCCTCCGTCGTCGTACAACTGTCTCTTGTCGACTGTGGCTTGACAATGCCGTCCACCTTTCTTTCTTTAGAACGGGTTTATCCGCTGAGTTACCAAGTACATATCGAGCAGCTCCAATTAGTGGTGTCAAACGGGCCGTGTCGGGCCAACCCGTCCCATTTAAACTTATGCTTTTAACATTTCTGTGTCGTGTCGGGCCGGCCCATTTAATTTATTGGGCCATGCCGTGCTAGCCCATTTAGTAAAATCATTGATCCCGGCCCGACCCAAAGCCCATGTCCATATTGAAACGAGCCGTGCCTATGCTCGTGCTCGTGTCATAATCGGGCCCAAGAACTAACCTATTCAATTTGAATTTTTTTCACTTGACTTTTTTTGCCCACTAGATAATTCAAATTATAAACATTAAAAATATAATTAGAGGCAAGAAATGATGAACTACTTGAAAACATAAATCAATCAAACATCCAAACAATATAAAGGGGAGGAGGGCAAAAAGTGTCCAACTCCACAAAGTCCACTTCAACTTTTCATCTTTAAATAGCTTATTATTTTATATGTGAAGAAATATCTTGCTTTGATTATAAGAGGAGTGTATGTGTCATATGTATTAATTAGATATCAAGTCCAATGTTGTTTAATTAATTTGTAGTTGATATGTTAAATTAATTAAGGACGCATGTGCTTTTCCTAAAATGAATGACATCAAATATATGTTTATGATTAAAAAAAACATATAAAGAATGACATTAGATGTCAAATTATTGCATTTTAAATTTTGAGAAGAAAAAAAAGTTAAGTGGGCCGGGCTTAGGCTGTGCTTGAAAAAGGCTTGGCCTCGTGTCGTGCTTGATGCGGGCTCGGGCCAAGCCCTGCCCATGTCGGGCCATGGGCCGGCCCGATCCATTGGACCTATTATTCGATCCCGGCCCAGCCCAAGTTTTCGTCCCATGTCGAGCACGGCCCATTAATATTCATTCTCGTGTCGTGTCGTGCCTCATTTAAATGGGATGGGTTCGTCTAGTGCTAGGCCGGCCCGTCCCGTATGACACCTCTTCCTCCAAACCAATGTCTCACAGTATGAGAAACTCATTCCTATCCACCCTTATTCTTACGATCCTATCTATTTCAAACTTTCTCTATACCTTCTTCGGACTCAACTCTTTTGAAAACCTCAAGCATGTGTAAGCTTGGCAACAACGACTCAGGAAGAATCTTTAAGACACATCATCCATTAAAAACTTTTGCATTTTTAGTGAAAATTATAAGTTCCATCTTGAACTCCACATCTCCAACTTTACACCTCTCTCGAGTCTCGCCACCACCATTTCGCCTCCATCTCCAACTTCAAACCTCAACATCTCCAACTTTAGACCTCTCTCGGGTTTCGCCACCACCATTTCGCGGAAATGCAAGGCTTGAAGGCTCGGATTCTGGCCTCCGTCGCCGTAATACTGTCTCTTGTCGACTGTGGCTTGACGACGCCGTCCACATTTCTTTCTTTAGAACGGGTTTATCCGCCGAGTCAACGAGTACAGATCAAGTAGCTCCAAGTACTGGTGTCAAACTGGTCGTGTTGGGCCAGCCCGTCCCATTTAAACTTGTGCTTTTAACATTTCCATGCCATGTCGTGCCGGCCCATTTAATTTATTGGGCCGTGCCGTGCTAGCCCATTTAGTAAAATCATTGATCCCGGCCCAACCCAAAGTCCATGTCCATATTGAAACCGGCCGGGCCAGACTCGTGTTGTGCCTATGCTCGTGCTCGTGCCATAATCGGGCCCAAGAACTAACCTATTCAATTTGAATTTTTTTTCACTTGACTTTTTTTGCCCACTAGATAATTCAAATTATAAACATTAAAAATATAATTAGAGGCAAGAAATGATGAACTACTTGAAAACATAAATCAATCAAACATCCAAACAATACAAAGGGGCGGAGGGCAAAAAGTGTCCAACTCCACAAAGTCCACTTCAACTTTTCATCTTTAAATAGCTTATTATTTTATATGTGAAGAAATGTCTTGCTTTGATTATAAGAGAAGCGTATGTGTCATATGTATTAATTAGATATCAAGTCCAATGTTGTTTAATTAATTTGTAGTTGATATGTTTAATTAATTAAGGACGCAAGTACTTTTCCTAAAATGAAAGACATCAAATATATGTTTATGATTATAAAAAAAAACATATAAAGAATGACATTAGATGTCAAATTATTGCATTTTGAATTTTGAGAAGAAAAAAAAGTTAAGTGGGCCGGGCTTAGGCCGTGCTTGAAGTTGGCTTGGGCTCGTGTCGTGCTTGATGCGGGCTCGGGCCAAGCCCTGCCCATGTCGGGCCATGGGCCGGCCCGATCCATTGGACCTATTTTTTGATCCCGGCCCGGCCCAAGTTTTCGTCCCGTGTCAAGCACGGCCCATTAATATTCGTTCTCGTGCCGTGTCGTGCCTCATTTAAATGGGATGGGTTCATGCAGTGCTAGGCCGGCCCGTCCCGTTTGACACCTCCACCTCCAAACCAATGTCTCACAGTATGAGAAACTCATTCCTATCCACCCTTATTCTTACGATCCCATCTATTTCAACCCTTCTCTATACCTTCTTCGGACTCAACTTTTTTGAAAACCTCAAGCATGTGTAAGCTTGGCAACAACAACTCAGGAAGAATCTTTAAGACACATCATGCATTAAAAGCTTTTGCATTTTTAGTGAAAACTAAAAGTTCCATCTCGAACTCAACATCTCCAACTTTAGACCTCTCTCGAGTCTCGCCACCACCATTTCGCCTCCATCTCCAACTTCAAACCTCAACATCTCCAACTTTAGACCTCTCTCGAGTTTCGCCACCACCATTTCGCGAAAATGTAGGGCTTGAAGGCTCGGATCCTGGCCTTCGTCACTGTACTGCTGTCTCTTGTCGACTGTGGCTTGACGACGCTGTCCACCTTTCTTTCTTTAGAACGGGTTTATCGGCTGAGTCTCCGAGTACAGATCGAGCAGTTCCATGTAGTGGTATCAAACGGGCCGTGCCGGGCTAGGCCGTCCCATTTAAACTTGTGCTTTTAACATTTCTGTGCCGTGACGTGCCAGCCCATTTAATTTATTGGGCCATGCTTAGCTAGCCCATTTAGTAAAATCATTGATCCCGGCCCGGCCCAAAGCCCATGTCCATATTTAAACGGGCCGGGCCAGACTCGTGTCGTGCCTATGCTCGTGCTTGTGCCATAATCGGGCCCAAGAACTAACGTATTCAATTTGAATTTTTTTTCCCTGGACTTTTTTGCCCACTACATAATTCAAATTATAAACATTAAAATATAATTAGAGGCAAGAAATGATGAACTACTTGAAAACATTAATCAATCAAACATCCAAACAATATAAAGGGGCGGATGGTAAAAAGTGTCTAACTCCACAAAGTCCACTTCAACTTTTCATCTTTAAATAGCTTATTATTTTATATGTGAAGAAATGTCTTGCTTTGATTATAAGAGAAGCGTATGTGTCATATGTATTAATTAGATATCAAGTCCAATGTTGTTTAATTAATTTGTAGTTCATATGTTTAATTAATTAAGGACCCAAGTAATTTTCCTAAAATGAAAGACATCAAATATATGTTTATGATTAAAAAAAACATATAAAGAATGACATTAGATGTCAAATTATTGCATTTTGAATTTGAGAAGAAAACAAAAGTTAAGTGGGCCAAGCATGGGCCGTGCTTGAAGCGGGCTTGGGCTCGTGCCGTGCTTGAAGCGGGCTCGGACCATGGCTGTGCCGTGCCTCATTTAAGGGATCGTGCCGTGCCTCATTTAAGGGATCGTGCCATGCTGGGCCGGCCAGTCCCGTTTGACACCTCTACTCATGATCAAAACCCTTTTTTTAGGTCAACATTCAAAGATCGCTCTGACAAAAAATTAGGCAAATTTGTCCTTAACCAATGAAAATATTCACAATAATAATCAAATGATGAACCGATTTCCAATTGCCTAATTTTTTGAGGGCAGTCCTTGCATGTTGACCTAATAACTAAACAGTCCTGGTCATGAGATGACGTTGTCAAGTGAGTCCAGACAAATGGTTAGCGCCGTATTAATTTAACTTAATTATTTTTAAATAATGATGAGCAACTTTTGAAACACCGGAAAGATAAGGCTCTCAAATTTACCTTGTGTGAGATTGTTGCCGCTTAAACCCTGCCACTCCATAGTCCACCCTCCACTCCAGCTACAGGTATTTTTGAGGCCTTCTTGGGAAGGGGTAGCAATGGCTTGTCAGCAGATTCACCATTCTTGAGCAGCACCAGTGATTTCCTCACAGCTTCCCTAGCCAATTCTCTATGTTCCTGTGAAATTATCAGTAACAGAAGGGATAAGATTAATCAGTTTCCAGCATGAATTAATATTGCTTGCAGAATTGTGTCAAGTTTATCAAGAGCTACCTGACTGCCAAGCTGGTTGACCAGGCTGAGATCAGCCAACGGTTCCTCAAATAGTCCCATGACAAACTTAACTCACAAAATTCTCTTTACTGCATCATCAATTCTGCTCATGGGAATGATTTTATTTTTTATCAGGAAGGTTAAACCGTCGATGAATTCTGTATAGTTGTATGGAAGCATGACCTGTAACATGCAGAGAATTAGGTGTTCTTCAATTCAAGAAAGAAAGAAGAAAGGAAAAAAAAACAGGTCAACAAACAGAGATGTTGATTATTACCATGTCAATGTCGGCATTGATTCCTACCTGAATTGAATAAGAGTAGTTGGCATGAGGTGGAGAGGTGATTCTGTCAATACCCTCCCAGTCTGAGATGACAAACCCCTGAAACAATCCACCAAGTTTTAGTGAAATGGATAAAGGCTGAAATTGAAACTCAGAAACGCGTATTTACCCTAAAACGGAGAGTGTTCTTAAGGAAGCTGGTGACAAGATCACGGTTAGCATGCCTCTTTACTCCATTCGAGCTTGAGTAAGATACCATAATGGTTGCCACACCTTTGATAATTGAGTCATAGTAGGGTGGCATGTGAATGCTGAGCAACCCATGTTTGTTTATCAGTGTGTTGTTCTCATTGATGCCGTTGTTTGTTCCACCATCTGCCACATAATGCTTTGCACAAGCTGCAACCTTTTTACTGCCATAACATACCACCAACAGAAAATCATGGAACATTAAGTATTAACTATGAAACAAGTTTGTTGTTTCGAATCTCAAACTGATTAACTTCTCAGTAAGATCAATGTGTTACGAGAACCGAAACCGTAAACATATGTTGATTCTTTTCTGTGATATGAATTCTAATTACTAAAATTAACAAAGTCCCTTTTAGGCACAAATCAGAGTGCAACAACACTAAATTATCTAGTACCCCAAAGTTTGGTTGGGCTAGGACTTGTCTATTTTTTCATACAGTACCTACTGATGTTTCTCTGAAAGAGCTTAAAGCATTTTCTTTTTTAATTTTAAAAATAATTGAAGATTCGAATTTGGAACTTCTTTCAATGTGAGGAATAGAAATACGACTAAATTATCTACCATCATTGATAGCAATGTTGGACCATTCCAAATAACAAAAGGGATGCACAGACTTTGACAGAAATTACTGAATAACAAAAACTTTGCACAACCCTAACATATATTTAGGCCAAAATCTCTATGCACCAAGCCTTGAATGTTAAGGTATCTAATTATCTATTTAGAATTACCTTATCTGATGAAAGGTGAAAGCTTAGCACTATCTAATGTTTTTACTATGAAGCAAACCAAGGAAATTCTTACTTTCCTGCTACGAAGGGAACGCCCTTTGTAGAGTTAGCCGGTATCTCCCCTTGCAAGCCAGGAATGATCTCAGTCATTGCTTGAACAATCTTGGGATCTTCACTGTAGCTTTAATCCTCTTAACAAGTTGAGGGTCTCTGCTTGATTTCAGTTTGAGGAAATTGACATTAGTACAAATTTACTTTTTCTTGAATTCTGTATAGTTTCAACTCCTAAGAAGACTAAAGAAACAAATTTCTCAATTGAATGGCATCAGATGTGTACTATGGTAGTTTGGATTTTGAGAAATATATTGATACTTGGCGCTGATTTTTGCCTCTCTCCAAACTAAATGCTAGGACAACACTTTTTTATTTTCTAAACTTAATCAATATTCAAGACTTTGAGACTAGGATTAGAAAAGAAGAGGGAAATGTTAGTATGGTTGAAGGCATATCTACTTGCCTGGTAGCTCCAAGGCCAACATTGTGGAGAAAGATTGTTGCCGTGTAGACATTGTTGTGGCCATGAACAGCATCAATACCATAAATCAATGGAATTCGAAGCCGAGTTGATAAAGAAGCCTTTTGAAAATCATTCACCAGTTTAACCCAAGTTTCTGCAGAAGCCTTTTGTACTCTTAACATTCACAGCCCCACTTAATATACTCCCTGCCCAAAACAAATTTCTTCTTCCCCTCAACATTGTGGAGAAAAATGGAAGTCATGTTTTACCAATGAAGTACTTCTTCATCACCTCAGCTGACGCAACACGGCGATCTATCTGCACCATTTGGCCAATCTTTTCCTCCAAAGTCATCCGGCTTATCAGATCCTTGATTCTAGTATTTAATGGTTGTTTGGGGTCCTTATATTTAATGTATTCTGCTTCTGCTATCGCTATGCTGCAGAAACATAAGAGAAGAAGCCCCGCCAAGAAGACGGGAAGTCTAGCCATTTCCTGTCACAAAATATTTACACATGAATGCAATACCCAAGTAGAAAAGCCACTTTAAGGTAGGAAGAGGAATGATCAACCAAAATTATGAAAAAGTAGAAACTCTACAGCCAGAAATGAAACAGTAAAAGGTGAACCTTTTTTAAAAAAGAAAAAGAAAAGAAAAGTACTAAGCAACCATCTTACTATGTTTAAAGAGAGAAATCAAAAGGACCCTTATATTGAAATAGAGAATTAAAGAGCACCCAGTTTTTAAGCAACTAAAAGACAATAAAAAAGTTACATTTCTTCAAGTCAGAAACAGAACACATGCATAGTAGCTGTTTGGTTTCTAAGAAAACAAAGGAAAATTTAAAGAGAATTGTGACTATGAATTTATATACGGTTTGTTGCCATTTCCTGATTAAACCCAACTGAGAGCTCTGTAATTGAATCACCACTAGGCTCAGTTGAATGGAGGACTTCATCATTCTGGAAACTAAAAGTTTCTTGTTTCTCAGCAAACAAACATGGCATTAAAGAACTTGCATGTGGAACAAGAAACACTAGAAAGTGAGAAAGAACTCAGAACTTACAGAGAAGTAAAAGAGACCCAAGAGGCAATGACCTCTGCTCGGTTGAAGGAAGAGAGTGAGAGGCAGAGAGAGTTGCATGAAAAATGTAAATTGGAACTTGAAAAAAAACAGCTTTTCTTGATTTACCAAACACCGTTTCATTCAGAATTTTTTAAAATAAGCTGCTTATTTTAAAAGCACAGCAAGCCTTCAAAGGAAGTTGGGTGTCAAGTCAATTGATTGAAAGCTTTGATATGATACTTTTATCTTAGCGGGTGCAGAAAACTGACTTCTAGGAACGTAAATTTGTTTGCTTCTTCATTCATGTACTCATAAATTATCTGCTACTCTCTATTGTTCCAATTACCTTAAGCAGTAATACTAAAGAGAGCAAGAAACGCCTTTAATTCAGAAAATGCTAAACAGAGCAACATCTAATATAACCTTGACTCGTATAGGAACCCCATGACACGTTGGAAGTGTGTGTAAGAAACACCCTCCCTTTCTAGTTTAGACTAACGATTGTATTAAAAAATATAATAATCATAAATTACTGAATTAAATAGTTAAACAACAACCAATCACTCCAAGTTGAAGGCTATATGAGCGTCTGTCAGAAGGGGCTAGTAATAATATGACATGACAACAACTTATTTTATACTGTACTAGAAAAATATAAGACCAAATGCACGGATGATCATGTACATGGCCAAGACCTGTGAAATTATCTGCAACCATATTTTCTTCTCTGAAGATATGTCGAACGCAAAAAGTGAAGATTTGGTTCAGCATATGCCAAATATTCTGGATGACAGAACGAATATTCCACTGTAGTCGGATATCTTTATTGACAATTTGCAAAACCTTTTAATCTCTCTCAATCTCTATATTGGAGAGTCTTAATCTAAGCGCACACTGACGAGCATGACGAAGAGCCAACGCTTTTAATGTAAGTGTATCCATGACTTGTATCTCACAACATATGAACTAGTCATGTTAAACATTGCTAAAGCATTACCATAATTTCTCGTGCAATACGAATACTTATGAATGAATGTTAGTTCACTAGAATGCATGTCTGAAAAAAATACCAATTGGATTCATTGAGAAACTTTACTTACGAATTTAAATTAAAGGCTCATAAATGAATAAGCCTCTAATTAATAATTTTATTATTCAGATAAATAACCATCCATTTTGAAGAGTACTACATGAATACCTAGTTGAAATGGGTGGGGGTTGTAGTGAGGCCAAATCCAAATGGGAAGAGAGGGTCATAATGTGCATCTCCAACATTCATAGGTAGCTGATCGACTGTTTTGAACCAAGTGCGAGAAAGCTTTCCAGTGAAACCATAGTCACCAAATAAAACATCAGCTACTCCTTGGCCTTCGGTTCCTGGAAGCCAAGCTGCGACAAGGGCATCAATCGAAACAACATAAGGTTGGATCACAACAGGACGGCCGGAGATGACAATAACAACACATTTCACAGCTCCGCAAACATTAGTGATGGTGGTCGGGCCAGGGTCGGGGATAGTCAAATTTAAGCTGTCACCAAATGTCTCGGCATATGGATGTTCTCCAACTATAACAATGGCATACGAGAAATTATTTGACTTCACAAAGTCAGCGTCAGGATTCTCTTTGTAGACTACTTGTGCTTTTGGATCCACTGTGTTCTTTATGGCAGTAAGAATTGTGGTACCTGTAAAAAAAAAAAAAAAAAAAAAAAAAAAATCATGTAAGAATTTTAGTAGTCCCTGTCAGGCCTCAGACAAACATGTCTCCAGTCCTTTATTTTTCAAAATAGGTTTTGATCATAGTATAAAAGCTCTTCTCTGCAGTACCATTAGGTTAACATTATCTTTTACTATAATGAGGAGCAATTTTTCGAGCAACAGAAAGATAAGGCACTCAAAAACACCTTCTATGAGATTGTTTCTTGTTGAAGAAAAGTTTCATATAAGATTTTAGTAATCCCGCCAGGCCTCATAGGCAAACATTCAGTCCTCTTCTATTGAGCTAGAAATTTTATTTTGACAATCCAAACCGTCTAGTTTTCAAATCTTCATTCATAGATCATCCAAAAAAAAAAAAAAAAAAAAAAAAAAAAAAAAAAATTAGAAAACAAATGAAATAATTTTTTCAATGACCATTATCCTTTTATCTTTTAAAATAGGTTTTGATCATGGTATAAAAGCTCTTCTCTGCAGTACCATTAGGTCAACTCCAAATAATGATGACTTTTACACACCCGAAAGATGAGGCTCTCAATTTACCTTCTGTGAGATTGTTGCCACTTAATCCCTGCCACTCAATAGTCCACCCACCACACTGATAGCCAAGATTATCTGCATGACTGCCAGCTACAAGTATTTTTGATGTCTTCTTGGGAAGGGGTAGCAATGGATTTTCAGCAGATTCACCATTCTTTAGCAGCACCAGCGATCTCCTCACAGCTTCCCTAGCCAGTTCTCTATGTTCCTGTGAAATTAGTAATACAAAACACTAGATTAAGTTTTCCACATTAGGATTGCTTGTAGAATGGTGTCAAGTTTATCAATAACTACCTGACTGCCAAGCTGGTGGACCAGGCTCATATCAGCGAACGGTTCCTCAAATAGGCCCATGACAAACTTAACTCGCAAAATTCTCTTTACTGCATCATCAATTCTGCTTATGGGAATGATATTATTTTTCACCAGGAAGGTTAAACCGTCAATGAATTCCGTATAGTTGTATGGAACCATGACCTTTAAGATGCAGAGAAATAGGTGTGTTAGAAGTCAACTAACTAACATCATCAAGTTATTCAATTTAATTTAAGAAAGAAAGAAAGAATGAAAAAAAAAATGCCAACAAAAAAAGATGCAGATTATTACCATGTCAATGCCAGCATTGATTCCTGCCTGAATTGAATAAGAGTAGTTGGCATGAGGTGGAGAGGTGATCCTATCAATACCCTCCCAATCTGAAATGACAAAACCCTGAAACAATCCACAAGGTTGTACAATAATGCTTTAGTTTTTAAATTGATATTAGTGAAACGGACCAAGAACGGAAATAAAAACAGAAATATGATTTTACCCTGAAACGTAGCGTATTCTTAAGGAAGGCAGTGACAAGATCATGATTAGCATGCATCTTTACTCCATTCCAGCTTGAGTAGGATACCATAATGGTTGCCACACCCTTGATAATTGAGTTATAGTAGCCTGGCATGTGAATGCTGAGCAAGCCGTGTCTGTTAATCACAGTGTTATTCTCATTGATGCCTTTGGTTGTTCCACCGTCACCCACAAAATGCTTTGCACAAGCTGCAACCTTTTTACTTCCAAAAGAAATAACAGAATATTATAAACAAAATAGCTTGTAAAATTAATAACAAACTTATTGTTTGGAATCAAAAAATTATTAATGATTTTTTAGATAATGTGTAACGAGAACTGGAATTGTAAATACGCTTGGTGATTGATAATTCTAATTACTAATATTAACAGTCCCTTTATGCACAAATCAGAGTGCAACAATATGGGGAGAACAGTGGCCTTTGCAACCACAGTAAATTAGTTTTGCAGTTCCTAGAGTACCTACTGATATTTCTCTGAAGGAGCTTAAATGCACTTTTCATCTCTTACTTTATTCAATAACCAACACCACCCTCCTCCAAAGATAAGGATAAAAAGAAAGATAAAGAAAAAGGAAAGGGAAGGGAAGGAATTCCTATAGGAACCAAGGATGCCGTACTGGATTTATGTGGGCCAAAAAAGCAAACTAGGACCAAATCAAACTTCATACTATAGGATAAATCTCTCTCTCTCTCTCTCTCTCTCTCTTTTAATTTTTGTTTGCTATTTTAGTGCTCGACTTTTACTTTTGATTTACACAGTTAGTGGAACATGGTCCATTCATATAAGTCCACAAACAGGTACATGAATACAAAAATGTTACTTTCATAGGACCATTATGACCAATGTACCAAGCACACTGAAATGGATGGAACTGAGGTTACAAATAAGAGATGACAAAAACGATGCAAACTATAGAAAAAATTAAGCACTAACCTATAACATCAGATGATCAATTTTGAGATGGACAAAACTCAGGGTTACAAATATTTTTCACAAACCTACGACATAATTAGGCCAAAACAGCCTTGCATGTTAAGGCTCCAGAGTCCTTCTGGTTTCGAGAAATAATCTCTTTCTACATTTTTCATAGAATGAAATTGCAATACAGATACCATGAAAGTTTAAGTCTAATTATGTACAATTAATTACCTTAACCAAAATAGTTTATTAAACAAACATAGACAACTTAAGTCAAAACCAAGGAATTAAAATTCTTACTTTCCTGCTACGAAGGGAACACCCTTTCTAGAGTTAGCTGGTATCTCCCCTTGTAAGCCAGGAATGATCTCAGTCATTGCTTGAACAATCTTAGGATCTTCACTGTAGCTTTCATAACAGCGACCCCATCTTGGATCTCTGCAAACCTTCACAGATAGAATTAAGAGGAATCACAGCTCAGCTTAAAGTGACTTATGTTGATACTTGTCAGATTAATGATATAATTCTAGTTACCGCTATACAAGGGGCAAAGACATATGGAATGCCTGTAGCTCTAGCTTCAAGTGCAGTTGCAGCTCCGATCCTCTTAACAAGTTCCGGATCCCTGGTTGATTTAAAGTTTGAGGAAGTTTATATTAGTACAAATTTTCTCTTTGTTGAATTTTCTATAGTTTGAACTCTTAAGAAGACTAAAGGCTAGCAGTTGAAGAAACAAATTTCTCAAATTTCTCATATATGGAATTGGCTCATCTCCATCTTTACACAACTTTACTTCTATCAGGCTTTGAATATTACAGCACCAGAGACAGGAAAAGAAAACATTAACATGGCATCTTGAGACTAGGATTACAAAACAACTAACCAAAATTTGAATATTGAGGGCATACTACTTGCCTGGTGGCTCCGAGCCCAATATTGTGAGGAAAGATTGTTGCCTTGTAGACGTTGTTGTGGCCATGAACAGCATCAATACCATAAATCAATGGAATTCCAAGCCGAGTTGATAAAGAACCCTTTTGAAAATCATTGACCATGTTAATCCAAGTTTCTGCAGAAGCCTTTTGTGCTGGAACGCTCCCACCCCCGCTTAATATGCTCCCTGCCCAAAACAGATTTCTGCTTCCATTAAATCCAACTTACATACAAATGAAGAAGTGACACTTTTCTTTTTTAATCTATATAGGTTTTGTTCACAGAGAAAAGAAAAATGATGGTGATATTTACCAATGAAGTACTTCTTCATCACCTCAGCTGAAGCAACACTGCGATCTATCTGCACCATTTGGCCAATCTTTTCCTCCAAAGTCATCCGGCTTACTAAATCCTTGATTCTAGAATTTAATGGCTGTTTGGGGTCTCTATAATTAATGTATTGTGCTTCAGCCATGGCTATGTAGAAACATAAGAAAAGAAGTCCCATCAAGAAGATGGGAATTCTAGCCATTTCCTGTTCAAATATTGTTACAGATGAATGTAATCCTCAATTAGAAAGCCACTCAGGTAGGAGGTACAGACACATGAAGAAGAATTCTCAACCAAAATTCTGAAAAAGAAAAGAGTTCTAAAACTAGAACATGAAACAGTGTAAAGATGAAGAAAATTTCAAGAAAAGTATAAAGCGCATCTTATGTATCTCATGAATTCAAGCACCAATGGAATAGTTGCAATATATTTATAAATAAAATTTTAAAAAAAATCCTGCAGCTAAAATTAGGCCTAGAGAAAGGAATCAAAAAGACCCTTGTAGCAAAATAGAGAGCTAAACACAACCCAAGTTTCAAGCAACTGCAAAACAAACAACAAAAGTTACATTTCTTCAAGTGGAAAACAGAGAAACAGAGCACAACCAAAAGTCCAAAACAAAAAAAAACAAAAAAATTTGACCCTTTTTTTGACCTTTGGAACCAAATTCTTGAAACCAAACTGAGAGCTGAGTAATTGAATCACCAATAGGCTCAGTTCAATGAAGCATTTCATCATTCTGGAAACTAAAAATTTCTCTTTTCTCAGCAAACAAACAAGACATTAAAGAACATGCATGTGGAACAAAATTCACTAAAAAGTAAGACAGAACTTACAGAAACTAATGGAGACCCAAAAGGCAACGACGTCTTCTCAGATGAATGGAGAGAGAGAGAGAGTTGCAAGAAAAACGTGAAGTTGGGATTTGAAAAATGTGTATGGAAGAAGTGGATTTTATAGAAAGTTTGCAGCCATTTGACTGAAAAATTATGGTATGATAATTTTATATCTTAGCGGGTAAAGAAAGGTGCTGACTTTTCCAGGAATGTAAACTTGTTTGTTTCACATATAAATCATCCCTATCTTAAATTGGTCAAATTAGCACATATTCCTAATTATTGTTCCAACTTTTAAATTACTCAGTTGATGTTATACGAAATAATCTAACATCAATAATTTCTGGTATGATATTTTCATATTTACTATTTAGAAAATCATACACAAACATATTGCCTTCTTAGGACAACACAAATCCCAAAAAAAAAAAAAAAAAAAAAAAAAAAAAAAAAAAAAAAACATGGCAAAAATCAACAATCATGAGATGCCAGACTTGCCCAATTATATGTAAGAGTGCTGCTGCACAAAACAGCTTGAAAAAGCCCTCAACTCTCTCTCTCTCTCTCTCTCTCTCTCTCTCTCTCCCCTTGCCCCCAGACAAGCAAGAAATCAAGCCACCAAGGAAGTTTACTTATATTAAAATAATTTCGAAAAATCTACTTGCATTAAAATGCATTCCATAACAACCATTACAATATGCTTATTACTAATTACTTCTCTCCCTTGCCTAATTCCAATTTCTTACACCAAAAATTACAAACAAAAACTAGAAAGAAAAAAACTTCATAAATTTAAAACCTTATCAACCTTAGCTAGCCCAACATCCATGCGCGCCTACAAAAGTCGATCAGACAGCGAAGGCAGCCTTCGGATGAAGTTCAAAGCCGGCGGCGGCATCCGATCACGAAAGATCGGATGGCGCAGATAATAGAACCCAAACGCCATAGCCACCATCTTCGATGGCACCATGTACAGTATCACTGCCACAACGAAGCACAACAACACAAAAATCCCCGTCGCACGTGGGTCCCGCCACGTCACCAAAGCCTGCACCCGCTCCCCTTGAGTCGCGAAATCTCCCAACACCGTCTGCACACGTGCACCGAGCATCCGCAGCTTATCGTACCTCGCCCGCACCACCTCGAATGATCTGGTGCTCGGCACCGAATCAAACTCCTCGTCCAGCTCGTCACGGTCAACGTTCTCCGCCAATGAGAGCTTCGGGTCAAAGTGCTGAAGTGGAGCCCGGGAGCGGAACCTATAGTTCCAAGCACCAATAACGAACACATAAAACGCTAAAGTGGGGACTATCAGATCCGGGTACCACACAAGCAGCGCCAGCAAAGCGTGTACGAGAATCGTGGCCATTGGATTCTTCCACGAACGCGTGTCGTTTATCCACCCAACGACATCCATCACCCCCGCAACGACATTGATGATGCGGAAATAATTGGCGCGCACTTTCCTCATACTAAAACCTTGTGAATCCGCGTCCAGCATGTAAAGCACGACATCCCGCCCCAGCGGCGGTTCAGATCGCGACAAGTGGGCGGCCACGATCTTCACCGCCGCTCTCCTCAACACATCTTGTTGGACCGGCCCCAGCGGCTTTATGTGATGCATCAACGGCAGCGATGGGTGCGAGTACACATGGACCAAATCCAAGGTTGGGCTCACCCGAACGAAGCGTACCGCGATCTCCACCTCACCCATTTTCTTCAAGCCAGTGGGTGATAAAACCAGCAGCGGATACGTATTCTTATACACTTTACCCGTAGCCAACGTAGATATACGCACCCGTAGCTTCCCGATACGGAAGTCAGGACGCGTGGCGTCTTTCGAGCCCTCGATTTCGAAACCCGATCCGGAATTGTCAAAAACGCCAATGCTCAGCACCGTACACGGATCGTAGACTTTAAACGTGTACTGCTCGTTCCACCTGGGCTCCAAACTATCACATACGGTACGCGTGCGTACCCATTTTGGTCCATACTTGGCCACGCAGTAGGCGTCAGTGCATCCTTTACCGTTGACCGTCTTGACCGGTATCAAGTTCTTGCATCCGATAACTCCAAGCTCCACCGTGCCGAGCGGTGACTTCCAGAGTTGCCTCGCAGTTGGGCGGTAGTCGCTGCACACGTGCGCCGCCTCGTCCATCACGTGATATCCGCCGTCGAAGCAAAGGCGCAAGTGCATTCTGCCTCTGTACATCCTCTTCTCGTCGCCGTCTGGATTTTCGAAGCTGAACCATCGCGACGCCACTTTGCGATCGTCCACTCGTCGTTCGACGGCGCTGAGTGGAATTCGCAGCACGCCCAAGGTGACCGGTCCCTTCGGTAGCCGGTGCTCTATGGTGAAAATTAAGTGATCGCTGAACGGCTCGGCGGCTACGAACATCAAGTCTTGGTTCCAAGACGGCACGCCGTTTCGGGTGACGGTAGGCTCGGTCTTGAGGAATTGGAATCCGAGCTGGGCTTTGACCTGTAACGTGGCTTCCTTCAAATTCAACGACGCCGTTACGGGCAGAACGTCTTGCGCTTCGAGGACGGTGGCTCGGAGATACCAGAGCTTCGGAGACTGGTACACTTTGGCTCGTGCGTTTGGATTTTTCGCCGTGTCTGTCTTCCACGCGTCGGGGAATGAATCGTCTGCCTGGGTGCCCATCCACGTGGCAAGCATAAGATCGCCGTTGATGCGGGCCCCACCGCCCTCCAGCCGGTACCACTGCGGGGCCAAGGGGCTGTCCGGCGGGTCCCTCAGGGGTATTTCCATCACGTCGAAACAGATCCCGCCGAGGAACTGATGGCCGGAGGCCACCTCGGAGGCCGCTGAGGGGTCGAATACGGGTGGGTCCCAGACGGAGACTTCGAGGATGGAGGCGTCGGACTGGTCGGGGGATTGGCGGGCGAAGGCAAAGGTCTGGTCCCACTCGAAGCAGTGGGTTTTTCTGGCGGGCTTGGATGTGATGTGGTAGTTGGCGGTGGAGATTTTTACAATTGGGCTGCCATTTGCTGGGAGGAAGCGCGCTTTCACAACTCGGACAAAGAGGTAGTGCATCTTCTCCACCAGATCAAACGACGGCCGGTCCATTGACATGCTTTCCGTCGGCTCCAGCTGCGACGTATAATTGAGTGCTCCACCGGGCACAACCGGAGGTCTCGGCATTGGTGGTGGACCGTCGGTTCGGTGGAATTTGACATCTGCCATTGATTTGGATACGGAGTGTGCCATTACCTCAATTTCATGATCACGTTGCATGGGCATGGGAGCAGCTTCAGGTGCTACTGGTGGGGGTGGTGGGTTTGCCTGATCCTGATTTGCATCATCAGTGGCTGGTGGTGGTGGGGGTGGCGGTGAGGGACCCGATTCTGCTACTTCAGGAGCCTCGGTCTTTGGTGGCGGAGCAGCCTCAGTCGGCGGCTCTTCAGCAGGCTTCTCGGGTTCAGGTGGCTGTGTTTGTTCGGCTTCTTTTGGTGGCGCCGCTTCAGCTGGTGGCTGGTCTGTAGGTTGGGGCGAGGCAGATTCTGGCGGAGGTACCGCCTCTGACTGCGGAGGTTGTGCTGTTTCAGGCTTTGGTTCCTCTGCTTTGGGCGGCGGTGGCGGCGGAGACGGAGGTGGCACGACCTCATCCACATAATAAATCTTCAACCCAATGTCGCCGCGAATCCACGTGAACCAGCTCTTCTTCTGCAAAGGGAAATAAATCAAGGCCTCCTCACCTTTCTTCACAAACTGGGAGGAACTCAACCGGATCCTGCCGAGAAAGTTGTTTCTGGTGGTGGGGCCGTAATTCTTGTCATGGTATACATCCAGCTCAAGCACATCCCCAAACACGTCAGCAGGCCTACTAAGATCGAAGTCGAGCAACTCGTTCCACACAGGATTCAAGTCGCTCAGCTTCGTTTGGGTGCGTCTTCGCTGCCCGCGGTAGTCCACCACCACATAGGGGCTCGATGCGCCGCGGCCGTCTTTCGGAGACAGATTCCGAGCGTCGACAACTTCAACTATCAGTTTGTGTAGAGTTGTCATGACTATTGGATGGGAACTTGGTAACTATCAGCTTATAATTGGAAATGAATGAAGTTGTATCTTCACATCATACCTTACTTTGAAGTAATGACTATCATACTTTACTTTCAAGTAATGAGAAAAAGAAGAGGAGAGGAGTCATGATGATCAAATGGGAAACACAAGGAAGAGAGTGTAGTGTAGTGGGATTCCACTTGGGGGTGGGTGTGCAAGGGAAAGAGGAAAAGGTGCTTAAAACTTCATCCCCAAGGGCCGAGGGCCAAGGGGCTTTATTGTTTCTTGATTTTCAAGAAGCTTTAGACTCTTGAGGCCAAAGACAAACATCCATGTCTCTTTTTCTTGGTAAGATAATAATACTTTTCTTTTATAGACTGAAGATTCTGTCTCTCAGTTTTCCTTTTCCCTTTGCCCATTCCATCTCAAATCAATATTTTAAATTTAAAGTCTTATTTGAAGCAATAATAATATGCTTTATGGCTTGAGGAGAGTGGGGTGCTGCCAAGTGATGGCATGCTTTTTTCAAAGATGATTTGCTTTTGTGTCACCGACCGCGGGTTTTTGTCACCCAAGCATGTTGCTTTTTATCATAACTGCAAATTTGACAAAGATGACACCCAGCTACACTCTACCTAGCAAGAAGCTAGTCATCCAATCCTTTCCCACAATACAGTACAACACAATATGGTTTGGGACAAAACACAATATGCACCCACTATTCCTTAGTCACGGGTCTAAATTGGAGTTTCTATTGACTAAACGACCAACTCATACCCCACAACTCCGAACCACAATGCATGCTAAGTCGTGTGTCGATGGTTGAAAACTAGAGCGATATCTTTGTGTCGAATCCTACAAACCAGAGTATGATCATTGGTCGAGCACAAGATGAGGCTAAACCCTAATCCTCTACACGACCACCATGGTTTCAAATTTGAGTAGAGAATTTTAGGAAGAAGCTTTGATCTGAAGAGAACTAAGTTGTTATTTCTCCATCGACTTAAAAAATGAAAAAGATTAAATTCGAGGGGTAAAACAGTAATCAAGCCTATAATATGTACCGCATGAGTTGGAGTTGCTTAATCACTTTCTTTAGCATTTTTCTTTTTTTATTACAACTTTTTTGGTGCTGGAAAAATGAAAAAGGACCAATAGAAATGGTAGGAAACAGAACGAAGAGATCGAGTAGTGGGAGGTAAGAAAAGGATTTAAGGTGCTTAACTTAATCTCCAAGGAGGTATACTATACACCATTAGATTGACGATCTCCCAAGAGCTATATAATTATTTTTTTTTTTTTTTTTTTTTTTTTTTTTTTTTTAGAGTATATATTATTATTTTTTATTTTTTAATCTTTTTCTTGATACCAGAATGAATACCTTTGTTTTTTGAAATTCTACTCAAACCCTCTAATTTTCTCGCTGACTACACCCCAATTCATTTTCATTCATTTAAATTTCAAATATACTCCATTTAAAAAACAAAACTCAACTGCATGCCACTGGGACTTCCCCAGTGGAAAAGAGTTTTGACTTATAGGTTAAATATCTTAGGTTTGAACTTCCATGAGATCTTACTTGAATGCGTATGTAAAAATTCTCATCTCCTATAGTTTATACTATCACTTGTACTAAAAATAAAAATAAAAGAACTCAACGGCATATGTGGCTTAACACCAGCAACGCGCAACGCGAGAGGGAAAGTAGGTTAATTCATCTCCTGTTGCTGGCAACCAATGTCTTACATATTGACGGAAATGTAAGTGGAAAAAATAAAGGGAAAGCAGGTTAGTTTCCTGCGCACATTACTGTGGGAAAATCCGTCTTTGCATACCATTCTTTTAATGTGAGTTCATTGAAAATTTGAAGGAAAGAATTCAAATTTCAGCAATAAACTCACATGCGTCAGGAGAACCGCGAAAATACAGAAAACAATCTATTTAAAATGGGTACAATGAATGAATCATTTATTCAAATTTTTTCCAGTTGGAAAACAGAAACTTTCATTGATTTATTGACATTATACAACATAACTTACAATCCCTAAATTTTAAAATATCACATTTCAAATGGCCATGCCCTAACCTAGAAACTAGTCACCAAAGATCTAAAAATATTAAAGGAAACAAAGTCCCAAAAAGGAGTATGAGATAAACTTCTGCTACTTTATGGATTTGAAGGATACAAAAAGTATCCGCTGAGCTAATTCTATACAGTTCAATGTACAGCAGTGTATTTAACCCAAAATGCAAACTGAAATAAACGAACAGGAGGTGCCTCTATTTCTACCTAATTTAAGATGGGTTCTTCACAATCCTAACGCTGCTGTAGAAGCGCCTAAGGTCCTTCATAGCCTTTTCCTCAATCTGAATTGATCGAATCGATGAGGGTGTATCCACCTCTGGTTTGAACCAGCGGTTCACTCCAGAAGCATCCAATGGTGAACCCTGACCATTAGTGACTGAAAATCCAGCCGTTTTAGTCTTTGGACTGTGGGAAAGACTATGATGTTGTTTTCCCTGATTTGAGACATAAATAAAAACAGGCATGAGAATGGTAAATTAAACGCCTGAAATCTCCATGACTCTGGCATGTGGCAACAAGAAAACAACTCAAAAAGAATGCATGGAATTCAGTACACATAACAAAGAATATTAATGGTCCAAACACATAAGAGAGAGAGAGGGTGCAATTCACATACCTGCTGCATTTGGATGTCCCTAAGAGAAGGGCGAGAAAGAAGGGGAGGAGTTCCCGAAGCAGTCCAAGGAGGTGTACCTCTTTCTCCATCAGATGCCACTGAAGTATGGGTTGCAACCACTGGTATCGAGACCACTGGTATTGGCTTGGAAGGCAAAAAGGAACTCAGTAGAATCTTCCCATCACTTCTAGCATTGAAAGGATCTTCTGCATGACCTCTGTTCCTAGTTGACTGACTGTCCTTGGTTTTGCTTTGCTCATCCTGAATCGCACGAAGAGATGCAAATCCTTTCGGGATTTTAGCCCCACCCCATGCAGGGCCTTCACTTTTTGTGGATGGTGGGGGTGGTGCAATGTATTTGGGGGCATCATCAAGAGCGCCACTCAAGAACATAGAAAGCCCACCCTTTTTATTCTTCTTCTTGGAAGTTATTGGTGATGAACACTCATTCTTTTTTAGGTTTAAATTGTCCTTCTGAACAAACAAAACTGACTCCTTAGTGGTTTGGTTTGTCATAATCCCTTCACTCACGGCATCTTCCTCCTATCAAAGGTACAATTCAAAGAATTTAGCAAATGGGATGAATTATTGCACATATCGTTAAAATATGTGTTCCCAGTAAGTTGTAGATAATATTTTAACCAGGGAAAGGGATACAAAAAATCAAGCCTTGTTTAGGAAGAAGGCAATAATCCAATAGTCATTACAAAATGTAAGTTCAGAGTAAATCGCACACCAAGATCAAGTAAAAATGAAAGTGCAGTTAAAACTATTAAAAAATGGGTGCAAGCCTTGATGTTCAATCAAAATACATTTTGCCATCTAGGTGGCATAACAAGCTATGGAAAGTAATAAGGGTGAGACCAAAATCATCATCCTGTATTTTGGATAAAGATTTTTATCGCAAATGATCCCTGAACATATAAAAGCCCTCACTTTAGTCCTCAAACTTTTGAATCAATCAATGTGGATCCAGTCTTTTGGTCCACATTCTGACCCCAAAAAAAACAAAACAAAAACAAAAAAAAATTCTTTTGGTCCACACATTAATTTGATCCTTGTCGTCGCATTCCATCAATATTTTCACTAAAACTGGTCTTGTGTCATCATCTGACAAACTTTAAAGGGCTATTTTTCATTAAAATATAGCTCATCCGCCCAATACACAAAATAAAGCTCACACCTCTTAACAATTTCAGGGACCATTCATGATAAGAACCCAACGATAATGCAAAACAGCAAGTATGAAGTTGTTAACCATTATAAATCATGCACATAAAAAAATTAAAAAGATTTCAAACCCCGTTCAAAGATTCAAACATCTCAATTAGCTGGAAAAAGACGATTTAGTGAATAACCATCTTTTACTGAAATCAATTCAAACTTGATAAAATGAATTTTGGAATGTAACAAGCTCACCTTATGTTTTGTGGTTTGAGAGATTTCAATACTCAAGAAATCCTTTGTGTGTTTTGGTTCATCTCCCGGAAAAGAAGACCCTATATCCACTGGTGTGGCCATCTGTTTGTTCTTTCTCCTCTGTTTTTTTGATAGCTCAACCCTTTTGTTCCCTTTTCCATCTGGCTGAACTGAAGATGATGCCTTCAATTGTGGTGTCTCAACTGGAACACCAAGCTCAGCAAGCTCGCTTTCAAGAGCTGGCCTCGTCTGAAGCTTTGTAATTTGCTGGTCATCAAGAAGTTGCCCACTAGACCGTTTTGCTTCAAGCATCTCAATCTGCTGCAACTTTTTCCGCAAGGCTCGAACTTGCTTGCCGATACCATGATTTGGATCATCCTTGGGCTGTAGAAAGGAATCTGGTCTTTGGTGTATTTCATTTTTCGATGTGGATTGCTTTGTATGGCCGTCACGTGTCCTTTGAACCTCATTCTCACTATCGTCCTCTTCACTATAAATAGTAGCAGGTAAAGTAGCTGTAGGAGTTGGGAGACGACGGTAACTCCATGGTTCAGATGACCGTAGGTCCAATATATTTTCAAGGTTAGCTAGAACATCTGGTGAAGCACTAGCTATAGCTTGTGATGATACCGTAAATATATAGTCAAGGTTGCGTATGGCAATGTCCTGCAATAACAAACACAGCTTCAATAATTAAATAATTAAGTAGCATGTAAACTACAAATCTGCAAAAACTTGGATCACAAGTCCCATAAACAGAAGCATGATGAGACAATACTACATCGTCTTGTAGTTCCTAAAGTGTTCAAGACAATAACCTGCCACTAGACTTTTATCTTCCAAAAGAAGATAAAGCAGACTGTACTGGAGATATTTATAACTAAA